CAGTTCTGCCTTTCTACCAGTAAAATATGATACACTGTCTGCAGCTGGGTCTGCAGGGGACTCATAATCCCAGAGGCATTGATACAGATAGCTGAATGAGAGGGTTTCCTCAACTTTATTTTAAAAATACTTAATGCGCTAAAAATTTTCTTCATTTGCAATCAGGGAATATGTGAATAAATCCCAAGAGGAATGCCACTTTTGATTCTGAGGAGATGTACATGTAAAATGAGAAGGAATGGGTTTAATCTGACAGCTCTTCCTCTCCCCTCATCATAGACAGCTATTGTCAGACTGAATTAGAAAGTTTGCAGAAATACATTGCTTAAGCAGGAAAAAAGGGGAATGTTCATAAACCCCTGCAGAATCTGCACACAGATTGTTATTTGGCCCTTAAATATTAAATGACTGGTTTTAAATAGGCCTGGTGCAGATGGGTTTTGCCACAGGTTTATTGATTAAAATAGCTACTTTACATCAGCTCTAAGTTTGTTTCTCCAGAGGCTTTTGTCTTCATAAATAATGTACCCATTTGCTGAAATTTTGTTAGAACTCATCTGCTGAAGACTGGCTGTATATTTCTAGGTTGCTAAGCCTCAGTTGACTAGGCTCAAAATTGTGACAGTCCCTGCACTTACCTTCTTAGAAATGAACATTTCCTCTCCTACCCATCTAGTGCTGATCAAATCTAGTGCTTGCACATTAGAGAGTGCACTTGGAAACAGCTCTGATTGTGTTTGGCTGTTTGGGAAAGGCTTGTATGATACAGAAGGCTGCCTTGGCTATACTGAGGATTAGATTTTTCCAGTGATTCATCCAAATGCTGTAAGAGCGAGTGGAAAAATGTCAGTGAGCGTTGGATTGGACCACTAATTTTGAAGCCTGTTTTAGATGGGCATGTCTCATGCCTTCAATGTTTTAAGACTTCCAGTTTGCTGAATGTGTCTAGTGTGTGTATGATTAGGGTCTTTTTACGCTATTATTATAGCTTTTTTATGCCTTTCTAAATAAGTGTACCTCATTTTCTAGGAGATGCTTGTGCATTTTGTGTTATGTTCCAAGAGTGTTTCTTTGCTTGTATAGGGGATGGTGGAACAGATAATGCACAGCTTCCCCTTGCAGACTAAGGCTTGCAAGTTCTGTTATCCCTCTGACTAGAGTTTGCCACTCTGCAACAGGGGAACACTACTGCAGGACCCATAAGAAAGGAGGCCTATGACAGCATGGAAAGCAAACATAAGTGTTAATATGCTTTTCTTCCTCCTCCCTTCCCTATCATAGAAATATTTGTCTTTGCTTTAACTATCCACTACTACAATAGCTGTTCATTAAACCAGAGCAAGAGGAAGGTCAGATTAATGCCTTCGATGAAAATATGTTAAATTAGGCTTCCCTGTCTCATTTGTGCATGAGAAAATATCATTGTTGGTAGAAGAGCTAATTGAATTTCATGCATCTGGAAATGTAACCAGTCACAGACAATCTGGCCTGTCTTTACTCTTGGGGAGATGGTAAGCCTTTCTTTCTACAAGTTAATTTTACACCAAGACAAAACCAGAAAAAACTAACAGTTGATACCAAGAACAGGATATTGCAGGGCCTGAACTTTTGCCTGAATATTTTTTCTGTTTTGTTTAACCAAATGAAAATCTCTTCAAGATGTCATTTGGCAAAGTGTTTTGACCCAGGTGAGATCACAGATCTTGACAGTATATTAGTTTTTCCTGAAGTATCTCTGACTTGCCTCCTATTTTTTTAAGGCCTGGAAGTCGTGAGAATGATAACTTGCTTCTTTATGACAGTAAAACACACAGCTAGAATCATACTAGGAGGGTAGCTGACAGGCACTAGATAGATGGTTACTCTGTGGATGTTAGCAGCTGAGAATCTCCCTTCTTGGGACACCTGTCTGGTGACCAGTGCTGCCACAGTATATCTCTAACACTACTTACAGACCTGAGAGAAAGATGTGTGACCGGAAATATGAGCATCCACTGGATTTTTTTTCCTGTCAGGAAAGCCCCCTGTGACTGTGGAGTGAGTGTATGTGGTTTAGAGCAGGTCATTACACTTTCTTTCTTTCCTCCCTTAGAGCCTGTCATGAGCATGGGGTAGACTAGTCAATGCATAAAATGCCCAACACTATTAGTATGAACTTTTCAGCAGTCTCACTTCCTTCCATTATGGCTATGAGCAAGAGTCCCCATAGTGTAGTTAGGCCAATATTTGAGCAGTCAGGAAAGCCTCCCCCATGTTAAATTGTATGGCCTGGAACTGTAGGAGGATGTTGAAAGTCTTCCCCACTCTTTGCCAAAATACTTCATGCGTGTAGTGGAACAAAGAAAGCCTAGTTTATTGGGGTTGAACTTCTGGTGTCTCCAGTGGTGGAAGCTCTCGTTGAGGCTTTTCCTGTGGTTGAGATATTCAAAACCTCTCTTTGTGGCTTTGCCGCTACATCAGAAAGTTTGAGTTTATGCTAATGTGTTTCCTTGTGAAAGCAGATATTGACTCCCTAGCTCCTCTGTTAACAATGGATAACACGAGCCAACAAGCTCAGAGTTTATTAGGGTGAGACAGGGAGGTGCATATGTACATATCAAGAGGCTGTGGTTTTATAAACCTTATTTTCTCAGGATGCCAGGCTACAGGGTTCCAAAATATGCTTGATGAATCCTTTCAGCTGAAACCACTGATAGTAGCATCAGTAATAGTGTTAGATATCTTCCTGTTCAAACATTGTGTTCAAGGCATACAACTAAGCAGCATCACAGTAATATATTAAAAAATATATAATAATTTTAGGCACACTAAATATGGATAAATATGTTTTTCTTCCTTCCTTTCAATCAATGTTTTAATTGAAAAGGCAGTGGTGTTTTAATACCGTCTTTCATGTTGTTGATGCTTTAAGGAACTAATGATACCTGTTTTACCAAGCATAAAGAGCCAAATTATAGGATAATGTGTACTGGTTATTTTATTGTTTCAAATAAAGATCTGAAAGGTGATGAAACTGTGCAATTAAGAAACAAAACAAAGGAATAAATTCTGGTGATGCTGTGGGATACTGCATTAGCAATGGGTGGAGAGTTAGGATACATTAGCTAAGGAACCTGGCATGACTCCTGCATGTAAAAATATTTTTAAGTGCCTAAAAATTTCCATCACTTGTTATGACCCATTCTGCACTGTTTAACCTTGTAGGAAACACTGTGTGTTGAGTTTTGATCTTCAGAAGGGCTGCTGCTAGAGGTTGTGGACGAAGGTCTGTAACTAACTGGTCAAAGCAGTGGGACACTCCTAGTTATGTGTGCTAAATCCTCCAGTTACCTGCATTTCTGCTGTACTTCCACAGACACAGCTGAAGTGCAAAGGCAGAGCTGCTCTGGTTGGCAGCAGAGCAGGATGCATACCTAGGATGTTCAGTAGCAATCAGAGACTTTAATGACTGTAGAGGACTAATTAATTCTGATCCATACAGACACATTGGCTTCTTGTGCAGTCAGAATCTCAATTAGGCAATCAAATTTTTTCCTTTCGCAGTGACCATTGCTCCAGCTGTGCTGTAACTCTTTCCTCTCTGTATTTGCAAATCTTTCTCTTTTTTAAAGCAAAGAAAATGGTATACTTTGTCAGGAAAGTTTCCTTCTTTTCTTTCCATTTGTTCTGTTTGCATCTATCTAGATATTTGCATATCTGCTTCTAATGTTCTATGAGCCCTCAACCTTCTTTTTCAGACCCTTGTTCTGAAATGAGATCATGACTCCTTCCTCAGCTTCTTTATTCCTCCAACCCAGGGTTTCTAACCCTTCTTTTCCCCCCTCCAACCCTCAGCCCCTGCTGAGTCAGTTAAATATACATGTGCTCTTTTCCCCTTTGTTCCTTCTTTTCCCTTCACCCCTCTGTGGCTGCTTTTTTTATGTCAGCTTTGATCTGTTTGTTGGCAACACTAACATTTTTAAATCCTTTGTAATTTGTTATTTTTATACATTGTTGTAAAATTAAATATCTTGGAAAGGAAACATGGGTTGCCCCAGTCACTGCAGGAACAAACTCATTGTTACCTGGATGGGAAGGCTATGTATGTAACTGAATCTGTGCTGGGGGAGTGCTGAGGCAATGGTCCAGTCCACTGCATGCTATCAATCTGGTTTAAATAATGAAGGTATATCCCATAATCATCTATACAGGTAGGCCCAGTTTTGCTAAGCCAGGCTACTGCAGCAAAAGGGAAAATGAAGGGTCAGTACTTAAGCCTCTTTATGTTCCTTTGTTGTGGGTGGTGACCAAAACCATGAGAAGCGTGATCCTTAGTGATGAGAACTGTGACACAAATCCCTGGAATTCAGTGAGGTTCTTCAGTTTATCAGCAGGGGCACTGAGAGGTTCCTCATGTTTTAAAACCCTTCACTCTCTTTAAGTATTATCAGAGGCTTTATCCACCAATTAGGGTATCCTATAACTTGTGTTGCTGCTGGTATGTTTCTGTACCTACATCTATTCCAGACCTTTTTTTTTTTTATTTTTTTATCTGTTCTGTTGCTTTTGTGAAGATGACATTAACTGTTATTAATTATGACTAGTGTTTTATGCAAGCCACTACAATGACTTATGGCAAAAAAAAAAAAAGCCACTGTAATGACTGTGAGTTCCTGCTGAGATGTAATTTCCTTGACCACCCTTAGTTGAGAGGTTTTCTTCTGGCAGTGGCAGTAGTAGATGAGTTTTTTGCCAAGTATCTACAGACACTCTTGGCATCAGTCCTCAGGGACATGACTCCATATGGTCACTCTGGCCTGCAGAACCTGCTGCTAGATTAGGTCTCTGTCCTTTTCAGCTCTATTTTTTTTTTTTTGCCAGATGCCTTTCAATCCTCTCTTATAAGAAATAAAAAATAAAAACTTCAAATTAGTCCATATCCCATTCCCCACACTGAGACTGAATTTTATTTGTGGCCTTTTTTTACCAGAGATTGACTGGATTTTGTTGTTTTGTTCCAGGTCACCAGTTTCTTCAGAAGATCAAGGTAAGATCTGTTTTATTGATACTAATGGTGTATTAAAAATGAGACCAAAGAATAGCTAGTAAGCTATATTTTAACACCCTCATGGTGGAGAAAAATGACTTTGTAAAAATGAAACTTTGATCTTGATCAAACTTTGCTCAACCCTAGACATTAAGTGCTTGATCATTTAGTTGATTTAGTTGGGACTGACAGAAGTTAAGCCAGTGTTATTTGTGAAATCAATCTTACTTAATCAAATGGAACAATTGCAAGCATTTACAATTTTTTCACCCAACTGTACAGGGCTTCACCTATGGAAAATGATGTGTGGGCTTAAAGGAAAATGTATGTTTTTTGTCAAGATAAGTACCTCTTTTATAACTCTTACAGGACGGCGTCTTTGTAGCTGAAAGGAGAGTCTATTATGCTTTAAAGTCTTGAACACACATTATCTTGTGTTACCAATAAAGTGAGTTTGGTAGGACAGTACAGAATTTAGCACAGCTAGGAGCTTCTACATGTAAAAATCTTATGGCTTAAAGTAGCAAGTGTTACAGGTTATGGTAATATGCTTGCAAGGAAGGAGACTGAAGGATCTGATCTTTACCTATGGACTGAAGAGGGAGTTTGAGGTAATTAACTGGTTAATAATTTGACCAACTTAGGTTCTTAGAGCTAGGTGCTATAAATATCCCTCTACAGTACCTTAAAGTGTGGTTGCATTGGTACTGAAATCAAGACACATACTGTAAGGGGGGTGGGAATTGCATTGGCAGAGTTGCATAAGGAAGGGAGGGGGAAAAAAAGGAGACGGACTGCAAGGAGAAAGTTCATCATGTAAATCTGAACTGGGAATACTATTGTGGGCCTAAAAAGAAATAAATATCTATTTTCTTCTGGCGTTCAATTTGTATGCAGTCATACAGTCCGCAAGTTTTCTAGCCAATGTAATAAGTATTATTCAGGAAAGGTCCAGATGGGAATAGTAAGGACTGTTGCAAATGGAGATGTAAGGAAGTCTGAGCCTGGAAGCATGTCACTGAACTATGTTAACTTGGAATGTGGAGTGACTAGTTAAGTATCAACCTAAATTAGCCTTGGCTCCAGCCAAGAGCTTTTTAGTCCAGTATAGTGGCTGTCAAACATATTGTCATTAATAAATTCTCTTTCATCTCCTTGACAAGTTCTTTTTTAGTAAAGAAAGATAGAAAGAAAGCCATAAAAATGGACAAACATGTAAAACCAAAGATGCATATAGCCCATCTATTCCATTCCTAGTGTCTGACAGAAGTGGATCACCTGACAACTAAGAATATGAGACTGGCAGAAGTATACAGGTTTAATTTCCTGGTGTAGCCTATTAGCTTCCTATGATTTGCAGGTCATTGATTTTGTGAAGCAGATGGAGTTTTCCTATTTAATAGTTCATCTGCTTTTTACCATGACCATAGTACAGGAGACTTGTGAGAAGTTAACAACATACCTCATGTCTCCAACCCTCAGAGGAAAGTTGAAATCATTATGGTCTAATATACTATTTCAGGACCTGGATTCAAGCTGCGTTTCAGTGCATAAGCTTAGTGATAGGCTGCTCTTGCTTTTTCATTTCCCTTGAATTTATTCTATTGCTTCATTTTTATCTATTAATGGAGCAACAGACAGTGTATATATATCTCTTTGCGAGTCTTTAAAGTTTAGTCTTTTCTGCTGCCGTAATGCTTTCCTTCTTTCCACTATTTTTATGCTATTCTAGTTTTTTCACAAAACCCTCCTGTTTGCCATTTACCATCTGCTACCAGGGTCTGGCTTTTCAGGTTTGATCAACACCTCTGAGTAGCCTCTTCCTTCTCTTTTTTCCTTTCCTCTCATAAGAAACCTCCTCTTAAATGTAGAGTGAAAGACATATGTTCCCTTGACTAATTAGTGATACTGCTAGTTATTAGATGTTTTGTGACCATGGAGTATCTAGCTAAACTTGTCATCCATGTGTAGGAGCTTCTCTCAAACACAAAAGATTTCCCATGTCCCGGTGACTTTTCAGATAGAGAGGTCCAATGCTTGAATTTTCTTCACTGTGCCACATACAGACCATGTGTTAGTATTGAGCACAGTGTTAGAAGGAAAATGTGATAAAAGGGCTGTAGCATAAGGTTTTTAGAACCTAGATGCTTCTCAGTCCACTGAGACTGCATGTGTGGAACATCTCAAATTAGTCTTAAATTTCAAATCTCTTACCTAAACAAAAAAGAGAGGGTCCACAAGAGAGCTGAAAACTTATCTCTGAATTGCCTGTCTTTTATAGTGTTTATGCAGACGTCTCCTGGTATATTGTTCTTGGAGTATGTATCCTGGAATCAATTTTGAGACTTTATTTTCATTAATAATCAGTGCTCAACTGTGTACCTATTCAGTATGTTAAACACTTATGAAATTTTATAAGGCAGTAATGCTTTGGGGTACACAATGGTTCAAGATCCAACTCTAGAATAACGTACCTTCACTGGTATCACTCTGTGTCCTGTGTTACAGCTCCTCTTCTTACTATGGGACACCATTCTAATGCTGATTTTCTGATGACGTGATATTGATAATTTCTGAGAAAAGGCACCTTCTCTGTTGTCTTGGATCTAGTTCTAACCTTCCACTTGGTTCCTGACCCTTGATTTGTCTGCTTTAATATTCAGTCCTCTTTTTTTCTTCTACTATTTCTCTGTGTTTTTTTCTTCTTTCCATCATCTTTGTCTTTCTTTTTTTAAATATCTCTTTCCCATTGACCATGATGTTGCATTCTGCATAGATTCTTGCATTGTGCTCCTCCATTTGGTTTCTGAATGTCCTGAATCACCTCCAGTGTGGACTGCCTGCTTCAAGTACTAGTTGCAAACAGTAGCTGTAGCATCTGTAGTGTACTAACAGACTTGCTACCAGAATTAGCATTTAATGTGAGTGGCACTTCCATTAATCCCTGACGGGACAATGCATTGTGCTGTCTTGAAAAGTGGATGAGGATAAAGCACCATCTGTCTGAGACTGGGCATCTATTGAACAATTGTAACAGCACACAATGCTCCTTGTTGTGGACACGTGTTAAAGGCACCCTTATCAGTTACAAAGCAGAGCCATTTTAATTGGCACAGAAAGGGAAACAGTACTGCTAGAAAATGCCAAACTTCAAAAGAAAAAATGCCCAAAACCTCTTAGAGATTTTAAAAGTTTTGTGTCTTTGTTCTTGGTACAGGTAGTTAGGAAACAGATAAGTAAAGAGTGAAATCTATCATCTTATTTCCTTTTTTTTTTAATTAAAAAAAACCCCAACCAACCAAATGAAACACAAAAGGAGCAGACCTAACCCTCAAATTCTCTAACCGATTGACAAAATGATACAAGCCAAGTAAATACCAAAGCAGAGTAGTTTAGGCAGGGGATTGGAGGGATGACTCTGAAGGAGGAGGAACCTGTTTGGTCACAGAGGCCTTGGTGCAGTTACATGCCCTGCAGCCCTGGGAGACAATGGTCTTCTTTGGGTGTTGGGATTAGCTGAGACTCAACAATGGACAAGTGTCAGGGCCACAGAAGACCTGGTGGATGCCATGAGGGAGGGCCATGCAAGTGATCTGTTAGTTAATGCTACCACCTGCTGTATTTTCACTATATAAAAATCCTGACCATATGCTCAGGGGGTCTGAAACTGTTGGAGGTTATTTCATCCATTGTTTCTAGAGCAGGTATGGTACTGTGAGGGGAATGCAGATTTTTAATGCATTGCCTGGCTAGTGCACAGTCGTTGTCTGATTATTGTTAGGTGAATTGTTGAGGGTTTACCAAACCCTTCCTTCATCCTGCACCTTTCAGTGCTGCACTGTACGTTACATGTACACTAGACTGTGCCCTGCCTGCTCTTCTTCACAGCCACCCTGTAGAAATTTGCCTACAAATTTTCCACTGCTAATGTATTAAATAACAATATATTTTACATTGTCTTTGGCCTAACTTTATCTGACCAAATTTGCCTTATCTCTGCTAATCTGCGTGATTGAGTTGGCTCTTCTTCATCATGATGTAAGCAATTGAGGGAAACAGTCTTAAAAAGAGTACAGTGAGTTCCATTTCTATTTCAAGTATTCTGAAAAAAATACCAGCAAGCTCTTGAGTGTTGCTATTAATGGTGTAGGGACATTGGCATGCTATTCATCTAATGGCAACTTGGAGCTGATGCTGCTCAATACTTGTTTGTCTAACTTCAAACAGAAGAACCTTGCCTTTGATGGAGTTACTCAGTTTTAAGTAGCCATACTAATGCACCTCAAGTAGCAGTCAACCAGAGCTTAATCCTTATGCATCTGAGTTGCATTCTAATCTGGAGACTAGAGGTTTCAAATATTTATGTCACTGCTCTCTTTCTCATTTCTCTATGAACCCATGACACTGGGCTTTTTGCCTTGTTTACTTTCAACCGACATGTATTTTTTTAGGGTTTTTTTTTTACTGCATCAGCATAATTTCTGTGATTAAACTCAGGGTTTCTTTTTTTTGTTTTGTTTTGTTTTGTTTTTTTTCTGGTGCAATAGATTCAAAATTCATGAAGATAGGATACAAATGAAAAATTAAAACAAGAGGTGAATACATTCAATGGAGAAATCTTGGAGAGAGTTAGTTATTACAAAATAATAATATTATTCAAGAGATGAAGGTATGGGATGGGTTTTCTACTTGAAAAGACAGATAGCGACACTGAAAGATCTTTCAGATTCTGACAGGTGGTGGCTTCATGCTGATACTTAGTATCCAGCCTGGATATCCTACACTTAGAGGGGATTTGTGTAGAGCTGGGAGTGCATTAGAAGTGAAGTGAGTTTGTAACGGTGACATCCAAATTTGCCTCTATTAGAAAAAAATTCCACAGCAAATGCTTGACCCAGGTTCCAACTGGAAGTTTGAGGTGAGAGGTTTAATTCTGTCTCTAGATGTCCCTCTGGATTGAGAGAGCTGCTATATGAATTATAAAGAAAAGAGTGATCAAG